AACAAAAAATGCAGGAAAACCCATGTGTTTAATTGGATGGAACAAAAAAAAATTGTGCAGCTTAAGCTAACAGTTCAAATCAACTAGATAAAAGATGTTCAAACCTAAACACCTGACATAGCCAGCAAAGATACTCTTAACATTTGACAAAAGAATAACTATATATTAGGCCCAACAGTTTCAATATGTCCCCTACTCATTAATTCTAATTGAAAAACTTGTAAGATCTTTTTGTATGCTTCTCACTGGTAAACTTGCTTGAGCTGTTCTAATTTTTTCTCATCTACCTAAAACAGGGTCACTTCCAAAGAATTAAGTATTCATTGTCTTACGGAAATCAGAATAAGACAAATGACAGGTAGGGAGAGAACTAAATGCATTCAGTCCCTGAATGTGGTCTCATCGCAATTGTAAGAGAAAGAAAGAAAAGGGGCAACACGTCTACGGGTACTTCATTGGATGGGTCCATGCTGGGTATCATTATTTATAAGCCTAGGGTCTTGAGTTGAAGAAACACAGGCTATTGGACAGGACTAGATTATCATACATCAGAGGCTCTTTGAAGTATTTTTCATTAAAGATAGGCCCTCCCTGTTTCTAGTTTAGAATCTGTAGTGATTTGCATATGCCATATAAAAATCTTCCCTAACACATCAAATGGATTCCTTCCCTCTACTTCTTAGCATATAATCACTAATATTGTGGCTCAGATGCTACTAATCAGGCTGTTTAAGGGAATTTCCAGATAAACTGATCACCCTGGATCCAATATGAAGAATCCTGTGCTAAGGAACCTGCACGTTTTCTCAAATAGTGCCAAGGATAATTTTAATTTACTAATAATTCTTGGTAATTGGTGCCACACACACACACAAAATATGTATGTAGGCATTTGAATCGCTTCAGGAGAGATTGATTATTCAATAGAGAGCCAAGACAATCTGAGGATTTGAACATGGCCATCAAGATAAAGAATGTGAGATGGAGTGTGTGTATGAGGCCGGGGGAGGGGGGGACATGAGACACTCTGGATTTTAGCTCATTTCATCATTGCTTAAGAGTTTGAATCTATCCCTTAACCCCACTGGGTGGACTTAGTAGCCTTATCTGCAATAACTGCTTTTCTCATACGGAAAACAGTACATTACCTGGGACCCACTTTTACTAAGATACATGGAAGCTGAGGTTGCAAAACTGTTCCCCAAGCATAAACTACTATAGGTACCCCACAAATAATTTTTATAAGCATTTGGCTCATGGTTACTTAGCCTCCACTTGTTACTATAAAACACATGTCTGCATCAAGGCAGTGACAGCATCTCAAAAACAGGGAACATGAAAAAGTATAAACCTGAGCCCACCTTTTGGGGAAAGTCAAAAATGGCAGTGAGGTATATCCAAGTGCGCACTTTTTGTTAAAGGAAAAAGAGAATGTTGGGGTGGAGTTAATTCATAACTGAAGAAGCAGGCAAGAACTTTTTCAGGGCTCAAACAAGGGCATTTAGTATTATATGACAGAAAGGAAACTAGGAGGAAAAACAAACAGCTCCTCTTTCTACTGTGTTGTGTGTCTTAATAAATGATCTCAGCCTATGGGTTCATACACCCTTGGATAAATCATGTCATCAGCCTGCCTGAAATCCTCCAGTAACTTCCCACTAAATTTAGAAATCTCATTTCTTCCCCTGGCTACAAAATCCTGATTGCTCTAATCCCCACTCCACCTTCTATCTCAATCTGGACCCCTTTTCCGCTCCTTTCATTAAGTCCCAGGCACTTGAGCCTTTTTTTTTTTACAGTCACTGGAACATGCTCAGCAGTTTCCTGCCTTGGGGCCTTTGACTTGTATTCGCTTTTCCATGGCTGACTCTTCATCATTCAGGTCAGATGGCACCACTCAAGAGGTCCTCTTGTGACCCCACGTATCACATACCCAGACATATTTTATTAATCAGGACTTAATTACAAACATATTTATTTTTATTGTCTCTTCCCCCACTTCAGCCACTAACTAGGATATAGAGTTCATTTACCATTATATCAGCAGAGCCTAACACGGAATCTGGCACGTAGTAAATAAGTGCTCAACACATAAATGTTGAATTAATGAATGTGAGCACGCAAGGTACTTTAAACAAAATAACTAGTGGCCTTGGAATAATTTTAAATTCACGAATATTACCACCTTGCTGAGGAATATAACAATACAAAATTGAGATGACATACCATTTAAAAGGTTGTGGCTTCTAGGAATCTGAACAAAAATGAACCAGGCAGAAATGCCAACTTAAGATGAAAGTGTTTAAATAAATTAGCTCATCCATTTTAAATAGATTTGCTATGCTTCACCTAATTCTGAAGAAGGAAGAATATATACTTCCCATATTAATAAATCACAGCAAAAAAGTAGGAAGAGTTTCAATAACAAGGCTGTAGATACATTGAAACCCCTTTTTATATTAAAAGTTAGAATGAAAGACAAATCCAGATTGAACATAGTGATTGCAAAATATAATGCAATTTTGAACAATTAAAATTATGAAAATATACAAAATTGATGGGCAACACAGCTAGGCATTTGTACATTTTCCATTATGTGGAGAACACTAAAAAGTTCTCTACCTTTTATCCACATCAGATAAATGACTTAAACCAAATGTTTGCTTTGGAGAGTCTTAGGATCTCAGTAGTATAAAAAGCAGTAATTTTTCAGTCTGTAAACAGTAGTCGTGTTTTTTCTCCTTTCCTTTTTTTTTTTTTAAATATCAATTTTCCACACAAAAACAAAATAAAACAAAAAACCCACACAAACTAAAAACAGCAGCAGCAGCAGCAATGAGTTATTTGGGAATTCTCTTCAAATACCAATTACATACAATTGCTGGAGAGGGTGCTTTTTACTCATGTAAGAATATATGTGTATATATATATATATATTTTTAACTGTACACAATTTATAGTGCATGACAATTTCCAAAAGAACAGATCAATAAAAGATATTGGCCATTTCTGCATAATTTCATTCTTTTTACAATTATCTCAAAATGTAAGAGGTTGGATGTAATTGAAATGCTACATTTAGTAGGGAAATCAACATGTAACAAAGGAAGCATAACCCCAACATAACATTATCTGTCACTAAAACCAGTAGAGGACCCAGATGCCCCTAGGCAAGAGACTAGGTAGGTAGACCACTGGAGTCACACACTGTCCCTGAGGACCAAGGCCAGCCCACTGAGCACACATATGCTAGAATGATCACGGTCAGTTAATAGACTTGTTTCAAAGAACATTTCTGTTTCTATGTACAGTATTTTTGGATATTCAAAGAAACATCATTTCAAGAACACATGCCATACATACCCCCAACCTCATACACAAAGTTCCATCTAAATAGACCATAGTTTTATGAAATTATGATATTATTAAGTTAGATTCAGAATCAATCAGAATTTTTAATTCATCTTGTTCAAGGCAGTTCTTTGCTTTTGGGATGGGGTATGACAGTTGTGGCTACCAATTAACATCAAAACTGGTTTTTTTAAATTACTGGATAGACTAGGATTTCCAACAAGTCTTATTTTGACCATGTAATTCAGTAATTTTCAAAAGTTTCCC